GTATCATCGCAGGGAAACAAAACAAGTCCTGTGACGCCTTAAAAATTAATTAGATGATCACAATGGCTATAAAACAAACTTATGGGAAAGAAGAAGGCATGTGTAATAAAAAAAAGGAACAGATTTCTATATTTTATGCATGCACAAACATACGCATTTTGAAATAACNCTTGCACTCCTTCCCCATGAATTGTAAGCCGCCCTGAGTCCCCTCAGGGAAAAGGGCGGCCTATAAATGACAATAAAATCTACAAATCTACAAATGGAGATTTTTGCAGTAACCTTCTACTGCCATGCCCACCAAGCCAAGCCCACCAAGCCACCACCACCCCAGAACTGGTAGTAAAACAATTTGAATCCCACCACTGGTTCAGTAGTTGATATTTTAGCATACTGAAAGTACCCAACTATTGTGTGAAGTAGACACCATATTGTGCCATGTTCTGATTTATTTTTTTCTGTATCGGTGTTTTTGTGAATGCAGCCGTAGCATTTTGTTAAAGCAGCATATTGTGTGAAATCAACTTAAAAAGGGATTCGTTATGACTAATTTAAACCTATGCTGTACGTTGAAATGAATATTTTATGACACATTATATGCAAAATAGCATTCCACCCACAATGAAAAGCTTTTTTCCCCCTTATTATTGGGGGGTGGAGAGAGGTTGGCTTGAAAATCAGCCTAACATTAATTTTAAATAAATAAATCTGAGCTTTGATTCTTGTTCTGCTTGCTTTGCTCATTCTGCTTTCCCTTTAAAGTTAATTCCATGTATGCATTTAATTGCTATATTTAATGAGCTGCTATGTTTCCCTTTTTTCAGCTTCTTTTCTTAACTACTACTCCAAAAATTAAATCAACATCTGTAGCCGTTAAGTTAAATCTACAAAAATAGGCCAGTTGTCATTGTTCTAACAAGGGCTTAGGGCAAGTAATAAAAACTATCTTTGAATTCACCTTCAACAGGTTTCCTGTGAACCTGAAATAAGTCTTGGAAATGTTATCCGGTAGGGTTTTTCCCAGGGCCACCTTACCTCTGCAGCTGCCTTTAACTCCATCTCTAGCTTTTATGTTAGCTGACAAAATGTTCATGCTCTGATGTTTGAGGAACAGTACAAATAAATACAGCATTTCCCCCAGAATTATTACTACGGTCATTTTTACAGATTTGAATGAGTGGAGAAAGGCCATCTAAATCAGTGTTTACCAATCTTAGCTATTTTAAAGACACGTGGGTTTTCAGAATAACACAGTTGGAAGGGAGCTCGGAGATCTTCCAGTCTACCTTCTCCCCCCTGTTCAATCAGGAGACGCTATGGGGTCAGCCACCTGTGGCTCTGGAGCCACATGTGGCTCTTTCATCCCCCTGCTACGGCTCCCTGCGGCTGGTTGGCTCCACAATTGCTAGAGCTTTCGGTTAGGACAGGTAGAGGAAAAAAGATGCCATGCTAGGAGGAGACTCTATGGTGGGGGGACCAGACTTCTGGTAGGCAGAGGAAAAAAGAACAACACACTAGGAGGAGATTCTAAGGTGGGGAAATCAGATTTCCGGTCAGCTCCAGAATTGAATGGGGGGGGCTTCCATTTAGGACCTTTGTGGCTCTCTGAGTGTTTAAGGTTGCTGACCCTTGAGCTATACCATTCCAGACAAATGGCTATCCAATCCTTTCTTAAATACCTCCAGTGATTGAAAGTTTTCCATCCATAACTTCTAAAGGCAAGCCATTTCACTGATTAATTGTTCCCTCCATCAGGAAATTCCCCCTTAGTTCTAGATTAGATCTCTCCTTGTTAAGTTTCCATCCATTGCTTCTTGTTCTGCCCTCAAGTGCTTCAGAAAATAGGTTGCCCCCACTCTTCTCTGTGGCAGCCCGTCAAATATTGGATGACTGCTATCATACCACCCATAGTCCTTCTCTTCATTAGACTTGATATTCCCAGTTCCCTTAACCATCTGCTATATGTTTTAGTCTCCAGATGCCTAATCATCTTCGTAACTCTTCTCTGCACCCTTTCAAGAGTCTCAACATCTTTTTTCTATCGTGGTGACCAGTGGTGGGATTCAAATAATTTAACAACTGGTTCTCTGACCTAATGACCAGCTGGGTAGCTGTGGCTCGGTGGTCATGTGACTGGGTGGGCGTGGCCAACACAATGTCACTCACATCAATGGGCGCTTCACCTTAGCTGTTACAATGTAATAAGGGTTAACCGGAGAGGCAGTTCCTATAAGCAGGACAATAAAGATTAGGCTAGAAATACTAGA